CCTCCCCCCCTCCCTCCGCGGCGCTCCTACCTGCTTCGCAGCATTGCCAGGAGGTCGCCCCGGCAAGCGGAGGTTCCTGCTGGAGCGGGTCGGGGTGGGAGTCTGATGGGCAGTGCCCAGCTGGCCTTGGGTGGCCATCCAGGCAGTGTTCCTGGCACATGCGTCCTCAGAGGGCCCAGGGTCAGGGCAGCGGAAGAGCCCTGCCAGAGCGCCTCGTTTGTGACAGGTGTTGAGAGTGAGCCGAGCTCCCCGGGTGTCCCCGCTGGCCCAGGACGCGTGCTGTGCGAGGCAGGGGCGAGGTCCCGGGGTGCCTTTAGTTCCCGGGTGAGCAGAGTGCGCCCCGAGGACAACCCAGTGGCCTGCGACAGCCGTCACCGTGACGGGCACTTCCTGTCCTGCTTCGTTTCTGAAGCGGCATGTGTTCCGAGCACCCCAGCTACGTTGTCGGGAGGACTGATTGAGAAGTCACCCCTCTGCCCCCTCCAGAGGAATGTCGGGTCCTCACAGTTCAGGACCATTGAGGACGACCTGGTGTCTGCGCTGGTGCGCTCCGGCTGCATCCCCGAGAACCATGGCGAGGACATGAGGAAGATGTCCTTCCAGCGCTGTGCTCGCACGGACAAGGTAGGCCGCCCTGGCCCCGTCTGCTCCTCGCGGCTCTGCTCAGGGCCGGCACCACCACAGGCGCGAGCCGCGGCAGCCTGTGTGGAAGAGACCACCCCGCCCGTGCAGCCGAGGTGCCTGGGGCTGCGGTGCCCACCCTGGGCAGCACCGTGTCCTCACGGTCTTCCCTGCTGACCCCTGCGGGTGGTACGGGGCCACGACACCATCGCAGCTCCATCGAGCCGGGCACCGCCCGAGGTGGTGTTGCGGAGGCATGAGCGCCCTGCATGGCTGAAGGCCCTGGGGCCGGACTCAGGTTTAATCCTGGGGTCAGCTGGAAAACGCTGGGTGCACGTGCGGGTACCCGGGGTCCTGAGCAGTCAGGGGCCTGGAGAAGGGGACCGTGGTGTGATGAGGCCCGTGAGGGTGGTGCTGTCCCCTCTTATGTGTGTGTGCACACTCTCGTCCCTGGGCATTCGCAGCACTCTGCCGTCCCCCACGTGTGCATGCACGCGCTCTGTCGTATGAAGACCTGGACTCCCCGGCCACGGGTGCTGCCACATCATGCAGCACCAGAGGGAGACAGGTGGCCTCGTCTGAATAAGCAGCCCTACTCGGCGTGGCCGGGGTGCACCTGTCTCCTCGAGACGATGCAGCGGCACGTGTCCCATCCCTGCTGTGTGCCGAGCTTCCACCATGCAGCGTGGCGCGCCTGCACACTGGGCCACACTGGCCAGAGACACGCAGCCACGCATGGCAGGTGGCCCCGCATGGCCACCCAGAACCATGACAACGGGCTGGCGCGTGGCCTGGTGGTGGAGGGAGCTGGACCCCGGGCTGCTGCGGCTGAGTCCTGGCTACAGCGGCTTGGAAAGTGTGCGGGGTGCATGTGCGTGTGCAGGGCCCTAACGGGATGGAGAAACAGGCGAGGGATTGTGGCGTGACCACACCCATGGGGGGCGCTCTTGCTCACGAGCACACGTGTCCTCTGGCAAATAAAGGGACATTTAAAAAGGAGCCGCCAGGTCGAGTCCTGTTTTCCCCCACTGGTTTGCACGTTGTCCTGGACGGGCACGGTGGCCGAGTCACACAAGCCATTCCCGAAGCTGGGCACGAGGTCGAGGGTGTGTCCGTAGAGAGAGGCCTAGACCCACCAGCTCAGTCCAGCTCCTCGGTTCCCAGCACACCCAGGCCACCTGGGGTCTGGCAGAGACCTGGCCTCATTTTGCAGGTCAGAGCCCCCAGGAGCCTGTGTGAAGCTGTCGGTAGGGTCACCAGACACGCCGGGTCTTCTCGAAGGTCCTCACGTCCCTGACCTGGGGGAGGAGCGGGCTGGCCCTTGGCCTGTGGGGGCGGCAGTCCCGCAGAGCAGCCTGGTCCTCGTGTTCTTCCTGTCCTCCCACTCTCTCGTTCTCAGTCCCCAGGGTCCTGTCAAGGCAGGAGAAAAGGAAACATGCCAGGCTGATGAGATGAGCTTACCTCTCACCGTTTGTAGAGGTGTTTTCGTTGTGAAGCTTTAAAACGTGACTTGGAAACCCAGCGGAGTATTGTGACACGCTTGCCCCAGCCTGGGACAGACAGCCAAAGCGTCTTAGTGTGTTTCTCGTTTCCCTGTGTTTTGCTGGAGACCGCGTGTGTTTGCCAGAGAGGGAGGTTGAGCAAGGAGGCACCCCATGGGGATGGTCACCCCGTGGTCTCTTTCTCCTCCTTTTCCGGATGCCAGGTGCACACACACACACACGGCGTGTTTCTGAAACCTCCAGGTCGGTGCCTCGAACCACGGTTGGCCGTGTGGGATCTGACTGCCTTGGCCACCAGGCCGCAGAGCTGACCCACGTGTTTTGGGTTTGCAGATGACTCCGATGGGGTTGTCCCTGCAGTCTGCTACTGTAGTGTGCAGTTCGGTGGCCCACGTGTCACCATGGCCCGGACCACGTCCCAGCCCATCCCAGCTTGGGTGCCTGGTGGCTGTACCTTCTGGCTCTTGTCCTGCGAGGCAGTCGGTCTGGGGGCGCTCTGCTTTCCTCTGTTCCCAGCAGGGTGCCTTCTCCAGCCCAGCTTGTCTGTGTGGCCTGTGGCACTGTGGCCACCTGCAGAGCCAGGTAGGGCAGCCTGCAGAGCGTCTATGTATGTGGGTTATTTTGTCTTGTAATCTCTCCAGCGCATGCGCTCACCAGACAGAGACAGAGAGACAGACAGAAAGCGAGAAACCATCCCCCCTGGGGGATGAGGGAGAAACCATCCCCCCTAGGGAGGGGCAGTGGGCAGCAGGGTTAGGCTGCTGGATGCCACATGACTGACTGCGGTTCGAGTCCCAGACCAGGAGCCTGAGACGCATCGGGCGTGTCCGTATGCCAGGCGTGTCCAAAATCCTGAGAGAATGGAGAAAGGACTGGTGCAGCCGGAGCCGGTCTGGTTTGATGTAGAGTGTGCGGCCTTTGCACCAGCCGTGTCCCCTGAGGCCCCTCCTGGTCCCATGGACTGCCACCCTTTTTCCTGGGGACAGCCATGCGGGCCCAGTGGTCATGCGTCCGCCCCTGCCATGGCTTGTTCTCCCCCTGCGCCTGCACACTGTCCGGGTCTCAGCCCTGGCTGCTCCCCACTCCCCTGTCATGTCCACCCCCCGATCCAGAGTCTGTCGGGCTTTGCAGTCGCCCTCATCTCACGCCCGGTCCATCCTTCGGGGGCTTCTCTGCAGTGGGACTGCACCCACACGAGGCCCAGCAGGGCCTGACCCACCTGCCCTCTGCCCCTCTGCTCTCCTCACAGGGCGTGTCTGCAGCTGGCCAGGTGGTGTCCCTGAAGGTGTGGCTGATTGATGACATCCTGGAGAAGATCAACAGCCACCTTCCCTCACACATCCGGATCTTGGGTAAGCCTCCCGGCGGCCCCTGGCTATGCTCCCAGTCACTCCCTGCTGGGGCAGGGTGGAGTGAGCTGCGGGTGCTCAGCACAGGTAAACGGGAGATTTAGGCCCCTTTTTGTTCACCTCACGTGAGGGACGTGTGTCCCCGTGCCAGGATCTCGAAGTGCTATAACCCTTCCCAGCCAGCCAGGACCACGGATGAGTGTGGTGGACTTGAACCCGGGCCTTCCATAGCCTGTGCCACTGTGGCCTCTGAAACAGGGTCAGCAGGTGGCGTAGGGAGGAGGGCACGAGGCTCCGCAGGGCCACCCACAGTTTGGGTCCCAGATCCCAGGAGCGTGGAGGACGGGGACTGCAGCGTGGCCACCCCCAGGTCGATGTTTCCTTTCTCTCCCTCCCTGTCTCCAGGGAGCTCACACACGCTCCCTCCCGCTCTTAAGTGACGTGGCGGGCTGTTCACGTGAGTGTGAGTTTGTGGGCTCTCCCACTGTGCGGGTTTAAGACATCTTGGCGCGAAGGTAAACTCGGACCTTTGTCTCCCATGAGCATTCTCTTTTGTTTCGTGGTTGCTATAGGGCATACGCGCTCACTGGAGAGACAGAGACGGGGAGGGAGAGTGAGAAGCTACCCCCGGGGCTCCGGCTGCACCACAGTCCTTTCTCCATTCTCTCAGGATTTTGGACACGCCTGGCATACGGACACGCCCGATGCGTCTCAGGCTCCTGGTCTGGGACTCGAACCGCAGTCAGCCATGTGGCATCCAGCAGCCTAACCCTGCTGCCCACTGGCCCTCCCTAGGCTCTGCAGCTCCGCTCTGGCCGTCCACCTCTCTTCTAACTCTCCCTCCTCTCGGATTTGTTGGCATTCTTTTTCTTTTTTCAAGAGATTTTTGTTACAGTGTGCATGCGCTCACTGGACAGACGAAAGGGAGGAATCACCCCAGGGGGACGGCCATGCTGCAGTCCCTTCTCCATCCTCCTCTTGGGATTTCGACCACGTGTACACAAGTGCCTGGCGTGTTTTTTAAACTACCGGGTCTGGGACTTGAACTGTGGTCGACCACGTGGGAGTCCAACTGCGGAACCATTAGGCCACCTGCTGGTCCCCAGCCGAGACTCCTTGTGGCCCTGTGAGGGTCACCTCGGTCAGCCTGCTGGCTGTGCCTCGTGCTGTTCTCCGTTCAGTGTCTGCCTATGGGTGAAGCCAAGGCTTGGCAAACGTGCCCCGAGCAGGGCCAGACGGTGAGCACTGTGTGCCTCGTGGCCACACCCGCTACAGGGACCGCTGCTTCTTTAAAAAGAGCAGAGACAGGACTCACAGGGACTTCCCGCCGTGCCTCAGCCCCAGGGCCTCAGCCAGCCAGGGTCCCAGGACGCGTTTGCCGGTGTGCACGGGGTGATCGCGGGGCGCAGATCTGGCCTTCCCGTGTGGCCTTGGCGTGGCCAAGTCTGGTGTGGCCAAGCCTTGCGTGCCACCGCACCGCCTTGGCTGGCCGCTGCTGCTGCCTCTGCTTCTTCCCCCCCACCCAGAGGAATTTGCTATAGGGTGTATGTGTGCGCCAGAAAGACAGAAGGTGAGAAATCACCCCCCAGGGGGAATGGCCACGCCGCAATCCCTTCTCCGTTCTCTTCTTGGTTTCCTGGGCATGCACACACGCTCCCAGCATGAATTTAAGCCGGGACTTGAGCCGCAGGCGACTACGTGGGAGCCCAGTGACATGGCCGTTACGCCAGCTGCTTCTCCCCCGGGCAGCCATTGCGCTGCTCCTGCTTGTAACCACACTCCCGCCCCGGCCCTGGGCAGCGAGTCTGCACCCCAGCTCCCAGCGTCCCGGGTGACCTCACAGTGCCCGCACTCTTCCCATCAGCCTGTGTGCCAGTGACACGCAGTTTACGTGTACACGGTCCTGAGTCCACGGCTCGCGGCGCTCGCTTTCTTTAAGCAGCCAGTATCGCCCTAAAGCTTCAGTGCCGTTTTCACGTTGAAACGCGTCAACGCGCAGTGAGCTCAGGGCCAGGCACGGGCGACGTCTGTCTGAAACTCCGAGGATGTGTGTGCTCCGGGGGGGGGGGCTCCCCAGTGGAGCCTTGTGGCCCTCGCCGTCCCAACTCAGGCTGAGTTTGGGCACACACATGCCCTGTCCCCATGCCGTGGGGGCCAGGGTTCACGCCGCCATGTGACTGTGGGTCGTGTGGGATCCAGTCCCCTAATCGCTCGGCTGCAGGGCTGACCTCCATCAGGCTTGCTTCGTGGCAGAGGGTATGTGTTCAGGTGGCGTGTACACGCGTGAAGGCACATGCCCCCTGTGGCCTGCTCACACCACAGTCATTTCCTCCAGCTCTCCACTCTGTCTTGGGCACGCATGTGTGACTGGTGTGAAGCTGACAGGGCCGGGACTTGAACCCTGGCCGCCCGTGTCCCGGTTCCACACGTGCTGTGCTCACCATTGCCATACAGGCTGGTACAGGTGAGTGCCCTGAGAGACCGAGAGGAGGCGGAGCCCCTTCCTGCCTCACCATTGCTTCTCCCCCGGGCAGCCACCCCTCCTAGAGACCTGAGGGCATGGCCTTGCAGGACACAGGATCGTGCCCTGCAGGGGCTTTTGGTCTGGTTCCTCCCACTCAGCCTGATTTCGACTCCCGTGCTGTGTAGGCCATGGGTGCTCCTTCTGCCATGGGTGTCCGTCACGGACAGGCCACGTCGCTCACCTCCCCGTGGGCCATGGCGTCCAGCTCTGGGCCACGTGCACTAGCGCTGCTGTGAGCACACGGGGCGGCCCCGGCAGGATGCTGCTGGTCGCCTCACTTTTATTGCGCTGTGGTCTCTGGGGCCTCAGTCGCATGTGTGGGAGCTTGACACGCCACGGGGCCGGCCCACATTGAATCTGAGACAAAAGCA